GGGAGGAGGGCGCCTCGGCCTCGATTTAATTACCTCCCCGGTGGCAGGCAGGGTAAGGCCCCCCTGCTGCCCGCTGCAGGAGGGGGCGGTGGCGGCAGCCCCGGGGGGCCTCCTGGAGTGGGCACCGGGCAGTTGCGCCTTCCGAGCCCTCGGGGCGGGGAGGTGGGGGGATGTGTCCCGGAGTGTTTCCGCAAGCACATGAATCGGACACGTTTCTGCAAATCACCAAGGTGAGCCCCGAGAAAACAGGGCCACGAGGATAGGAGGGAGGCCCGATCTGCGGCCAAATGGCACGCGGAGTCCAGGAGCAGAGCCCAGGGAGAAAGATGGACAGCGCCGGGGCTTACAGGGCCTGCCAAAGGGCTGGAGAAGGCTGAAAAGAACAAGCCCCGCCGGCTATTGTCTGCGAGAAAATAGGAACTCGTGTGTGTGTGTGTGTGTGTGTGTGTGTGTGCGCGCGCGCGCAGTGAAACACTGTCATCACCCCCTGATTGCTTGCCTGGCTCTCCGGGCGTTCAGCAGAAGGAAATAAATTCTCCAACAAGGCTTGGGCCAGAGTATCAACACATGAGCACTAAAATGCGATTATGCTGGTGAGAAACACCACATGAAGATGCATTGCATTCCCTCCTTCCTACCCTAAATGATGTGAGAAGCACAAGGGAAGTCCACTGTGACCTGTTGTGCCGTTGGAAACCCTGGAGATTGACTGAAGCTCATTTTCCACCTGAAGATAATACAGCGGGCACCTTAGAGAGCTGGCAGGATGCATCACTAAAGGTCACATCCAGAGGAAGAGAAAGTGCCTCTATATTTGTCAATGTCTGTCACAGGTGGGGAAAAGAGACAGCTAATGAGATCTTCCTGGTGGGGAATTCTCACCCTGACTGACATTGGCAGTGACTTTTTATTTTATTTTTTAATTTTTTTTTTCTGGCCTTGCTCCTGATTTTAAGTGCAGACATTGAGATGGCTTTGGAGGCCTCTGTGAAGATAATGCTGTTGCCTCTGGTGTTTCCTGGGATCATGGAGGGGGGGGCGAGGAGGGGGATAAGGACATCTCACATAAACTGATGAACCGACTCCAGAGCTCTTTTTACCTGGTGAATGAAGTTCCCGTAATAAAACAGGACAATTCTTACTAGGATTTCTGCCTTTTAAAAAAATCATCACTAAGCCTTCCTGTTTAGTCAACCCTGTACAAAAACAAAAGACCAAAAAAAAGTAAACATGGACTGATGTCTGCTCCATCTGGCCTTCTTTTAAGGAACACCCTCAGACAGAAAAAGTGCAATTTCCAAGTAGGGGCATATTCACCAAAATTTTAACTCTATCAATTTTTTTTAAAATGTCATCCATTAACTTTTTCATTTAGAAAAGTTACATCTAACTATTGGAGAACATCTCAAAACTGAAGGAAAAAACTAGAAAATGTAGCTATAATCCCACTATTCACAGACAGTTTTTTTTCTATGCACATAAGAGCCATTTTTAAAAAAAATTTCTGTAGGATCACACCATACATTTTGTGTAGGCAGGGTTTTTAGCTAGTTAAAATAATTTGAATTTTTTCACTAATTATTCTTTTACAACATGATTTAAATACATATATAGGGATCAGCACCTTGCTTTTTTATATCAGCTGTTTTTACGTCAATATACTAGAATATACTAACATCTTATTTTCTGCATCTTTGTAATTTACAAATGATACAGTTAACTTACTCTTATGCTTTATGCTTTCTTGTTTTAGTGAACAAAGGCATATCCAGTTTTTAATGTGTTTTCTTGCAGAAGAAAAGTAAACAATGTGAGTAGACAAAAAAAAAAACAAAACACCAAACAAACACTACAGAAAGCTTTTTGTTCTCCGCTACAGGAGTTGAAAGAAAATGTAGGAATTTGATTTCTGCTAGCTCTGATTGCTGAGTGGGGTATTTATCTCCCTAAACTCAGAAAGGGTGTGTCTATGTCTCCCTTCAGAGCACATTCTACTGGGCAGTGAAAATGCTGTGTACTTGAATTGGCTCCAACCAAACACACTGTCTCTAACAGTAAAAAAGACATTCACAGGAAAGACACACACTTGCTAAACCATGCTTATCCCGACCTCCCTCCTTTGCCCTCAGACTCTTGCCACAGATCATTTGGATGCACCCAATGTACTTTTTCTGTTTCAGTGATCCCACCTACAAGGGGAAATACATTTAGACGGCTTCACTATTAAAACATTCTAAACAAAACTCCAAGATAGGGAAGTGGGCACTGATATAGACACCGTTTCCCTGGCCAAGTGTTCTGTTGAACTGATGAATTTTCAATATTCCTTTTAAGGGCATTGGAGGACAGACATCATATGCTCCATGCCAACCCAGTTCATGGAAATGAAGACTGTTAAAAAAAAAATCAGCATTACCTTTGGGATCTGGATGAATGCCCTCCTCAAACCTTTTTTTTTTTTTTTTGGCCTGCCTACAAATGCAATTTCTAGAATAATCAGATCTACCACTTCTTAAAAAGCTCTCCTTTATTTTGTACTTGTGTTTCTCTCTATGCGTCGATAAAAGAGAAAGAAAAATGACAACTTACTTTCATGGCAAACTGGATACATGTCCGTTCGTCAACTTGATACGAGACACAAAGCATAAACAAACCCAGATAGGCCACTAGGCAGACCTGCAATGGAGAACAGGGATGAAGGGATGTTATCAGGGCAAGTTGTGCATTCTAATGACATCAATCTCTGTGTCTTTCACCAGTAACATCCTTCTTATCGGGGTGTTCATTTCATTTGCTTATCTTTATGTGCTATTTTTTCTCAGCTTGTGGAACAGAGTTTTAAAAATAGGCAAATCAATTTATTTCAGTGTAGCCAGCATTTATTAAGTCCTTTTGACGTGCCAGGTGCTATACGAGGTCCTTCAGCACACACAATGCTGAACAGAATTTCCTCAACCTCCGTAAGTGCAGTCCAGTCCAGGCCAAGATGAGTGCCCACACTGTTCTAAGGCAGGGCATTAATGTCAAATGCTATTCAGAGAAGTACAAAAAAGAGGGGGAAAAAATAACATGGAGTTGGGTGATTAAAAAAGCCTTTACTAAAGAGGTGGATTTGAAATGGTCCTTGAAAGAGATGATGGTAATAATGATGACTAACTGTTACTGAGTGCTTACTTTGTCCTGTGGCTTTTCTAAGGGCTTTGTATGGATTTCCTCGTGTTATCAGCACAAAATGCTATGAAGTAGGTGCAATTATGATCCTCATGTTATAAATGAGGAAACAGAAGCACGAAGCTAGTAAGTGATGGGACCAGCACTGAACCAGGTAGCTTGGGGGAATCAGCGAGGAGGCAGGAGGGCACAAATTGTGGGGAAAGAATAACAAACACGTACCCCACAGTTGAAATAACAAAATATGGAGCCAGAAAGGCAGGCTGAAGATCTGGGGACGCGGTACTGGTTTAGGAAGTAGTGGGGCTCCCTTGAAAATTTTTGAGCAGGGGAATGGCATGATTCAAGACACGTTTCAGGAAAATGAGCAGCAGTGGCGGGTGGGTTGCCGGTGAGAACATCAGAATCTTATTTGGCTGAGCTAAACAAGGTTAATCTCTCGGGTGGGCCAGAGCTCAGATGGTGGCAGGCAAAATCCGAGAAGGAGGTGAGAGGAAATGTGTAGTAAAAGTTAAATCTCTACACCTTGGCTCTTGCATGATGGACAGAAGGCCACTGGAGTGGGAGAAACAGGAAGCCATCTATCTCCAAGTTCTTGGGTATCAGTGATGGAAAGAGAAGGGGTACACCTGGCTGAAAGAATTCTAGGGGGCGTGGAAACTTTGAGAGAAACCATACTCAATTTGATTTTCTTTTTAGTGCACAGAAGTTTCTTAAACTGTGATTTAGTGTTTCTAATCAAAGCATATCTAGTCACACTCTCAACTTTGAAAACCTTAAAATGTTGCTCAGTTCTACTTTAGGATGGAAAAATAAGCTACAGAATTGCATTCTCAGATCAGCACAATTTTCCTCGAGACAGATGTCGGGAGAGTAACTGAGAGTCACTCAGTAAGTCATTAGATGGCTGATTTCATGATATTCACAACTCCTACCCTCCTGGCCGTGAAGCCAAAAGCCAAAGCCTTCTTTGAGTACAGGCTGTTTGCAGGGTTTTCCACCATTAGGACTGGCTGATGGTTTAACAGCACAGGTGACATTCCCAGTGGAGACACAGCATTAAACTATGTGAGCACAGCGTGGGCTGGAGAGGTCTGGGTGGAAAACCAGGCAGCTAGGACCCAGAGAGGCAGCTTTTCAGCAGAGGACCGGCAGATGTGGAGGTCATGATACTGAAGTTGTTTGTGTAGCCCTCAGCATGGCCATATTTCCAAGTCAGAGATGAAGTTCTTTTTCAAAGCCCTTTAAAAAATATTTCTAATTGAGGTGTAAGGTTGATACGGTCTGTTTTTTCCCATTAAGAATCTCCAGAACTGAAACAATGGAAGACATACTTTCTTCTTTTGTGTATTGGCAACAAAGCAGATGGGGGCTTCTAAGCCTGCTTCAGTGGGGACTGTGAGATCCCTAAGCGCGTGCCTGGGCCCCCTCATTAGCATCTGTCTGCAGGTGCACGGGGTCAGGCCCTCTCGCCCACATAGCTGTCTTTGTCCCTAGAGGCTGCTGGGAGGTTGTAACTGCCAAGACTTCCCTCTTTGTCTTTATGAGAGACACATTCCAGCAATCAGGCTTAACTGAGCAGCAGCTTAAAAATCTGACTCTGCCTTCCTTGGACAAATTGTTCTACTTCAATCGTATCTATTTCTTTGTAGCCTTAATTTAGCCTGAGTTCCAGCAAGAAGTTGCACAGGAACACATGACCTCATTCTAGAGCACTTCACTTAGTCCATCAACAGAACTTCTTTTGAGGCCGGACTCTTTCCACAGCCCTGGCAATTGAGAGGTGGAAAAACCATCTCAGCCTTCAGGGAGCTCTCAGTCCCGTGGGGAAAGAGAGGAGAGTGAAGTCACAATACCAGATAAGGACTAAGACCAGGTCCGCTGCTAACCGGAAGGCAACATGAGGAACCTTCCTGGAGGAAGATGGATTTTGAAAGGTAAGCAGAAATTAAGTAGATGGACGTGAGGAAGAGTAGAGAGACTCTTAGTACGTATAAAAGCTGGAGAAATGCAGGGTAAACATTTGAGGACTCCCATAGCTCTGGTGCAGAGGATGAGAGAGGAAGAAGGAGAAGATGAACTCACATTGATGGACAGGAATTAAGTCACAAAGGACTTTTATTTCACTCTAGGATAGTGGAAGCAGGGGAATGGTGTGATCAACTTTGCCTTTTAGAATGGTCTTTCTGGCTGTGAAGAACGGACTGGGAAGGGAAGACCAGCTCAGAGGCTATTCTCCATCTGTGGAGAAGTGATGAGTGCTTCCTGAGCTCAGGTAGCAGTCAGGATAGAGAAGAGGTGTGTTTGAGTGATGTGACGGACACAGAATCCAAAGGCTCTAAGAACTGATCAGCTGTGAGGACTGAAGGAGGGGGAGGGGTCTGCAAGGTGCTCAGATAACTGGCTTGAGCTGCCAGGTGGATGGAGATCACGTTTAATAAGGCACAAAATACAAGAGGAAGAGCAGAATGGGGATGGAAACCGATGATGCCCCCATGAACTCAAAGCTCACCTGCATGGGCATAGAACTCAGGAAAGGGGTCTGAGCTGAAGATAAGCCCTTGTTAGTCATATGTGAAGCAATCCAAACCATCAGAAACACGGGATCACCCAGAGACAGTCCAGGGAAAACAGAAAAGGGCCAAGGAAACCCAGTTCTGAGGAAACTTTGAATATTTTGAACCAAAAGTATCTCAAAGACACTTCTTTTAACTCTGGTTGTACCTTATGATACATCTAAATAATACAAAACCAATCTGATCATTCCTTTGGATTTTTGAAAGTTTCATTTCTGGGTCCTAGTGCAGGATATTTGCTATAAAGCTTGGATCAATCCAACATATTTCAATTTTTTGGCCTTCTCATAGGACTCAATATAGCTTCTGGAGGGGGGGATGTGGTGAGGGGGGTCTTCACTTTCTTACTTACAGCTTTGCATATTAGAACAATACTTCTTTATCAGAGAGTTCACTGGTGTTTCAAAATGTAAGCACCTTACAGAAGAGGAGTAGTTACTGAATACATAAAACTGATGACTTTATGGCCACGAGGAGGAAACCAGATTTCTCATGCCAGACTAAGGGTCTTATTTCCGGAGTGCGCAGGATGAGGGTGCGGCAGCAAGACGGGATGTTCTGGCTTCCGAGGGCAGGGAAGGGGGAGCTCTTGTTAATGAGAAGTGATCCTCGCCAGGCCTCTTGGAACAACATTCCTGGATTCCGGGCCAGGGCTTCCATTAGATATGGTGAGGTGAAGCCCACGGAACAGGAAAAAGGTAGTTACATAAGATTTTCAAGAAAGCACTCATTGGACCAGATACCCAGGCCTGGGGCGGACAGGTGGTGGCACTGAGCACAAAAGCAGACGAGAACTGGGGGGCCCTGGGAAAACTTGCACTAAAAGGGCAGCTAACCTTTAAGAGCTTGTTAAAACTAAGCTCACATCCGGATGGATAATTACGGTGATAGGAAAAGCTTGAAATGATATTTTGAATGAAAAAAAAGAAAGAAAAAAGCCCACCATCATTGTGAACCTATTTTTTTTTTGGATGCACGTTTCTACAATCTGTTTAGCGTACAGAGAAAAGAGAAGTGCTGAATTTCACATCCTGTCCGCCGCTAGTCTTTGCTCAGAGTGAAGACCGCATTCTCTCCTGTGAGTTAAAACGTTAAGTGGAGTTGGAATGTTCTCTGAATGTTAAATCCATTTCTAGATGTACGTGTCCTGGGTCCTGTCACACGTTGTCTTTGTGTTACTCGGCCTGTTGTATCTCCAGCAGTACCTTTTGAGGGTTGGCATTAGGAAGAAAAAGTGACTGCTGGACCCGGGTCTTGGAGGTTTACCTCCGTATCATTTTTTCCTTTTCATTTTTTGGCACAGCTGGGAGGTATCACCCTGAAAGAGTTTACTTCCCTCCGTGCCGTATTTCTATGCTGGTCTTGTGACATTCACACAACCTCCAGTTTATTTGTTTTCTTCTTTTTGTTGTTGACGGAGCTGCTTGACAGGGCTGGCTGGGGAATTCAACCTTCCCCTGTCAAATGCCTTTCAAGGTTTCTCTCCTCCTCCCATCCCCCGCCCCGCTTTCATCTGTGAACCTGCAATGTGACTCTATTTCTGTAAGTTGATCAGCTTGCTCCTTTGGATTTCAAGAGCTTTAATTCGGTCAGTACAGTCACAGGATGAACCCCTCTCACGTTTGCTCAGCCAACTGATCAACCAAGAGATGCGGCAGAAATGTACACATTCCTCTGGATACTTCTTAAGAGAATTTCTATGGATTTTCACCTATTTCATAGAATGTAAGGTCAAGTATTAGAAATCATTTTCAACTAATGATAGATATATTGCAATCTGTCAAATGAATGCGGTCTCCCTCAGGAGAATTGCTGATCAACACCTCAGGTACCAGAGATTTCAATAACTTACAAAAGAACATTTCATGAGAATCTATTAAAGGATGTTTATTGGATCAAGATTTCAGAAGGATGGGATAGAATGCTTCA